ATGATTCTGGAAAGATATCCTAATCTCCAAACGTTGTTTCTCAAGAAACGAGATGTGACGGCAACGTTCAATTTTACCGAGTATCAAACAGTAAAAGCAACTTTGCCAGCGATAAAATTTTATTCCGAAGATATTTCGGCTCTAGCAAATGAGCTATGTGATCCCGACGGCACGCTCACGAAGTGCTTACAACGCCTAAAAATTAGACACGACCGGATACTGAGTCACAATGAGCTTCTGCAAAGCTACCTGATGGAGCTGTTATCTATGCTTGAGACTAACCAGCACTTGGAGTATTTACGCGTTTTAATGTACTTATGCTTTGGAGAACACATTGATGCCTTCAGGAAATATCACCATCAGCCAATCAGCCGGTCAGTCAAGTTGCCAACAGTCTGCAAAGTTGCGTTTTTTTTTAGTGTGCACAGCCGGCTATTCAAAAGTCGAACATAAAAAGAAACCGCCAACTCCGGGAGAATCTGACGAGGTTTTCATGCCTCAATTTGAATGTAGTAGCCAAAGTTTTTCAGTTTACAGCCATGCCAGTGGTCGGGAATGTTTATGCGGAGCTGTCTAGCAGTTAAGGAGGTGAAGCTGGTGGAGTAACCAGCATGTTATAATTGATTGCAGCTCATAGAAAACGTTTCTGACAGAATACACGGGGAAGTACCGCGTATATACTGTCAGAAACGTTTATAATGAAAGTTACAGGAATTGTACGAAATTGTACCAAACAATAAAAACAAAATTTTAGATAAAAATGGCTACATGGTAGGTAATTTGAAAAGTTCTACAGTTCGACGCCTTTAGTACAACAATCAATCCGTTCGTCATTGAATCATGGAGGAACGCTGGGTTCGTAGGCCCATGAACTGTCGCTCTGTGAGAACAATTGCAGCATGTTGTGCCAGTTACACATTCAGACGAAATCGGCAGCACATAGTTCAGGAATGTGGGATTCCTCCCTCTACGAGATGGTGAAGCTGGAAGTAGCAGATCTTCTGCGTCATAATGCAGCGGCGAAAAAACTCAGCCCAATGATTTTTCCGACAAGGCCCTCCGAGGAAACACAAAAGACCAAGACGTCTGTGTGAATGTCCAGTCGTCACACGAAAGCTTTCTGCTGGTAAGATAGAGGGAGAATGCGAAACCAAGAGAAACTATCAACTCGAGGGGATGCTGTCGGATCCTCTTTCATCGATGCTAATCTTGGTGCCAGCATTTTCGTGTTCGCAGCATCGCGAATTGTTCGACACATGTATGCTAAGATGTCCAAAACCTGAGCCTCGTAGCATGTTGCGCTCGAATATAGCTTAAACGAAGCTGTGTTCATAATAAGACGAATTCATTTCTTATGCTAAGAAACAATATTATTTTATCGAAATATGTAGATTTAAGAGAGAGAAACCGCCAATCTGAGAACACCCTGCCAAATCTTCCAGCGGTGCGTTATTTATCCATAATTTTCCACTTTGTAATGCGTTCATGCTCGAAATCTTTGCTGAAGCGTACAGTTGATGTTCCTAAGTTCAATGCAGTGATCATGTTTTGCAAGTGAATTAGCTCGCCTTAAACTAACAGGTTTGTGTCAATCGGTAAGCGGTGTTGTTTGCGGCCTGTACTTCTGTATTGTGAGCTTCCTTCCCCTCCCATCAGCTTCGTGTTGACTGCAAAAGACCAAGGAAGCGGCTTCAACTTAGGCTTCAAAAACTGCGGCAATGGCGGTGAGTTTATCGCTAGTACGCGACGTATCGGACATGATGGTCATCGTGAGCGACGGAAGAAGTTTTTTTTTTTTACGTTCACCATACAGTGACCAGGTTCAGCCGCAACCTGCGAAGCCACAAGTTTATTATCTGGTCCACCCTTACAAGCAGAATGATCCATTTGACATCGATGGCCATTTTCGGTTTTACCAGGTCAGTGTTAATTCTTTTCAGTGCAAGAAATGAGTATTCGTTCTCTATTTTTGAGTAAGAAATTTATAACA